GGCGCAGTTGTGTTTTTGGGCACAACAAGATCATCCATTGCTCTCTTCTCAGTAAAGCAACAAGTCTACAGTGTTTTCTGACATCATCGCCGGAATCTCGTCTTTTGGGCGGGATGCTCTTATCACAGAACTGCAGGGAAAAAAATATTTTTTGTGGGTTTGTTTTTTAACCCAATAATGCAGTTTTGATGCTATATATATGTTTATAATGCTTTATGAGTACATTATTATTTGTTAGGAATGTGTTTATAAATGACTAAAAACATGCCCTTAAGTAAAGTATTAACAGATGTGTATCTCCATCACTGAGGCTCATGCTATACACATCTCAATGCATTGGCAACAATCCGATACATTAGATAGATGTGAAGCAACTATTAATGTGATACAATATGATTTACCCCTATTGAGGTGCAGTGTGATGTGACATGATTTGATTCAACACAATATAAATCACTGTAATATGATGTGATACAAAAGGTACAGATACAGAAAGTTTAGAGAGGGGGAGTCAATCTAAATATAATATTATTGGTCAAAATTATGGCATAGGGCCTCATATATATATATATATATATATTTATTTTAATAAGTCAGCTTTTACCAATGCAAAGATGTTAGAAATGATGCATCACAAGTTCATCTGAAGTTGTTATATCCGATGCGCACAATTGGGGCAGTCGCACTGTGAACTTTTATGCTGGAGCGCCAATGCAAATTGGTGAATCTTACCATCCCTAATGTTCAAGCTATGCAAATGATTTTACATGGTGGGCTAAACTGAAAAAAAAAAAACCAAAATAATAGAGGGAGCCTATATCCCTCCTGTTTTCACATTTTATATAATCAGAAATAATCATCTAGTCTTTACTGCTGTTTTTACTTTCCACTTTCAAAAATGGGGTATAATAAACAAAAACGCAAAAATACTATCGCAACAACATGCATTGGAACTTGATAAATGGCTCTTCATTATAGTTTTTGATAGAAGTGCATGTAATAGACTATTGCATTCCTACTGTGACAGATACCGACCAAAAATAAAACTTATTCTTCAGTTTTATATCAACTTGCCAGAGGTAAGACCCAATCGGACTTTTTATAGTCATATAAATATTAGAACACATTTCATGCTACATTCAGATGGGGACTAAATAGCATGCCATAGCAGCCATAATACCCTGTACTCTTGCAGCACTTCCTGCTGGACATGTGATCATATATTATGGCGGTGACTTTCTAATTCAAAAATTAGTTTGAGCATGATTTGAAAAATAATACAGACATGTCCGGTGTTAGATTCCCCCCCAAAATAAATAATTTAAAGACTGTGAAAGGTTAAAGTCCTTTGTGCTACTTTCAGGTCCTGGTCTCTGTCACAAAAGTAAGAACGAAATAATGTTAACTTGAAGTATACCCAACACGTTATAGAATGTGTAAAGTTGAAATATTAGATGTTATAAAAAAATAATGATAATGCAATAAATAGATAATGGTGTGGTGCACTTTGCATGAAAAATGTAAGAAGGAAGCTCTTTGGGTGTGTGAGAACTGTTAGCACCTGCGTGGAATTATAAGCTAGAAATGACTTTATACCTTTTGTGAAAGTGTTTATTTTATATATTAAACCTGTTGCAGAAACCACTCACACCGAGGCTTTCTCGTGCTGTCACACACACACGTCTTTTTTACACTGTCTGATACTTGAAGTTAAACACGTTCTGTATCTAGATCTCTCTGCTAGCTTGTAGTAATAGCAGAGCAATCTTTTTCACAGATACCACATTAATTGTTTATATGCGAAATGCACTGTGGTGTCGCAAAGCACCTCACACAACTGCAGACACAGGCACACTAATATCTTTCTTTTGTACCGTTTGGTATTTGGTCTTTACACATTCTACTCTATTATATATTAAAATATTTTCTCTTTTAGTGTTTTCCACAAGACCGCACAAAATGTATGATGTTAACACAACACACTGTTTTTTTTGTAGCATCTAATATTTCAACTTTACACATTCTATAACAGTGTAAATTAACAACAGGTGCACTAGAGGGGCAACAATGAGACGAACCCTAAACAGGAATGGTTTAACAGGTGGAGGCCACTGATATTTTTCCCTCTTCATCTTTTCACTAGTTTTCATTTAGCTCTGGTCAATGTCACTACTGGTAGCATGAGGCAATACCTGGACTCTACAGAGGTTGCATAGGTAATTCAACTTCTCCAGGATGGCACATCTATACGTATCATTGCCAGAAGGTTTGCTGTGTCTTCCAGCACAGTCTCAAGGGCATGGAGGAGATTCCAGGAGACAGGCAGTTACTCTAGGAGAGATGGACAGGGCTGTTGAAGGTCCTTAACCCATCAGCAGGACCAGTATCTGCTCCTTTGTGCAAGGAGGAACAGGATGAGCACTGCCAGAGCCCTACAGAATGACCTCCAGCAGGCCACTGGTGTGAATGTCCCTGACCAAACAATCAGAAACAGACTTCATGAGGGTGAGCCAAATCGCACCAAAACTGAAGTGGTGACAAGTGACAGAGCAGGTGCAGATCTGGGGAACCCTAATTGCATTAAGCATTAAGAGAAGTCACACAAAGTTCCCCAGGGGCATGTGTGTGTCTGAAAAAGACAGTGATTAATCATGTTTAACCATTCTGGTTAATTCAGAGTTCGTCTATCAGGCAAGATAAACTCACTTGTTTAGCAATATTCAGAACCACTTGTTTGGCAATATTCCTTGTTGTTTTGTAGGCAACAATATAAAATAAAAAATATATGAAATATGTTCAGTTGTGCATAATCTATACATAAATGATAAGGTAAAAGTGGTTTGCTGTGCAATATAAGCGCAATGTGCAAGAGACCTGAGAAATGTACCGACAATTTGGACAGTATGAACTGAATGAAAACAGTACTCATAAGATTATGGGCACTCGTACATGTGATGTCAGTGTTATAGCAACTGAAGAGTCACTGTAGAGTCTGATGGGAGACCTAGGGGCACTGAGACTCGTCCTGGTTTAGGAGCCTTATGATCTGGGGAAAAAAGCTCCTCTTTGACCTTTCAGTTTCGGTGATAAGGCTGCAGAACTGATTACCTTTGTTCAGGAGACAAAACAGAAAGTTATTGGGGTCCTTGAAGATTTTTGTTCCTCTGGTGCTATATACAGTATACTGTAAAAAGGATTTTTTTGTTGTGCCAAAGGAACATTTAAGTGCAGTCATGAAATTAAGTCTTTTCGGGAAATGTGAGGATTAGAGTTTGCACCTATTCCATATATTGTGTGATCATCTTGAAAAAATAAAATGCTGTTTCCCATTTTGAACCAGTATGGGATGCTTTTTGTCTCATAATCCCTCCCCATCTGCAAATTTTATCATTGCGGACCCAGAGAGGTGAGGGTGGCTTTGTACAGAACAAAGAACACACCCTGAAATACAGGTTACAAATAGCAGAAATGTTCTTGATTCTCTTTTTAAAAATCTGCCATAATGCATGCTTAAATCAAGCATGGATATATTTCCGGAATTAATTTTTGAAGTCTTCAGAAAGTTTGTCACAGACAACCTATTTATTATATTCTATAATGTTTTAGGTACTTTACTTGCGATTTTGTTATAATGTTAATGAAACATAATATATAACAATGTTAATATGACATAATGTTAATATAACTATATATTGATGTTACAATTTTAACAATTAACAGTGTTGATGTAAGAATCTGGATGCAGGAATTTCTAATAACACCAAAGAGTAGAATGTTCCTTTTTGCCACTTTTGACGACCATACACTGTACAAAAAATGACCTTAAGTAAAACCTCTATGCAATCAATATCTTGGAAGCCAGTGAAGAGGCTGCAACTGAATGCATGCTAATTTATTTATTCAGCCAACTACTGCAATCTAAATGTTTTCCCTAAATCCAGGAAGAACTATGTGGACTTGTGAATGCACCATATTTGTGAATGCACCATATTTGTGAATGCACCATATTTGAGCCACAACACAGACAAGCTATGTTTTCACAGGGGGGTGGCACATCCCTTCTCATTTACTGTCACACTTTCTGCACAAGCTACAATATTGTCCTCAATTGTTAGGATGCTCAACTGGAGTATTGCTATCTGCATGGCATGTAAATGGCTCTTTAAAAAGCTCCAGCTGCCAATTAGTCAAGCAAGGCGTTTTCTGAGTGAGCAATTAATAGCCTTTTGCAATGACACGTTTGGAGACAAGGCTATTTAAATGTATATTGTCCTTGTCGTATTTGTCTTAAATGCCATTAAATGTTGCCACTAGCCAAACATGCTGTATCAGCTGAATAGTTTGAATAGTTTTGAAAAGATCTCTGAACATAAGAAAATATCTTTTGTTTATTCGGGGGCAGTGTCTGAAATGCCACTGCGAAATTTTAATACTTGCCAGTATGTTGATGAAAAGGTCAATAGAAGCAGCTAGATGACATGAACATTAAGGGACTTTTAGAAAAGTCACTTGATGCTTTTTCAACACTAGTAGGGCCTTACAAATCCATCTTAAGGTACAGAATAATAGAATTGCAGGTGGACTAAAGATGAGGACAATACAATCTCAGCAATTTGATTTCATAATGCTTCTTAATTAATTGATTCTGCAAAACAGTTAATAAGGCTTGCCACTTTATATGTTTACAGACTGCGTTTTAATCATACTCCAAAACAGACTTTGAGAATCCCACATCACGTGACACCGGAATAATTCAATCCCTTTTCCAATTATCATGCTATTTGCTATCCTCATTCATTTTCTTGAAAGTATAATAGTCATAAGGTGAAGGCCGCATTAATGGCTAACATCTATCTCTACGTCTGTCTGTCTGTCTGTCTGTATCTGTTGGAATTGCATCTAGCTCCTCAACAACTATGGCACTTAACACAGCATCATAACTTCATTTATATGTTGTGTGTTTTATTAAACTGATATCTTTTTTTGTACTTTCTTTCCAGGTTGCTGTGCTCCAGTCTGTGGATGTATGATCTTTGATTTATTTTTTTTTTGATTAAGGCAATATTTTGGTGACATGGAGCACATGGATTGTAAACCATACCAGCCACTATCTGCACCACGACATGAAATGGAACAAAGCTACACTAGCTCTTCTGATGAGAGTGAGGATGGACAAAATCTGCACAAGTCCTACACTTCGAGGGAAACGCTGCCCGATTATGAACCAGAACTGAGACTCAGCTTCCGCAGCCATAATAAGAAGCAGACGACTCCTACAGGGCCAGCACAAGGTACAGTAAAATGTCAAACTCACAAACTGAAATTAATATGTAAACCAACTCTATATAACATAAAATACATATAATTTTTTTTCAGAATAATATTGATTTTTCTTTTTTTCCAGTAAGTTTCTGAAGATCTGCTTTAAAATATTAATCTTTATCTTTCAAGTTCTTACATACATTCTGTGGCTACTGAAGTAGGTACACCTTCTTGTTAACACAAACAGCCGGATTCTTCAAGCAGCAAACCATATGCCTGATACATACAGTACAGATAGGGCCCAGAGGAGCAGTTACTGTGCGGCTAAGAATTGAAATGGCTAAGATGCATGATCTAAGCAATTTTGAACATCGTGACATTATTGGAGCCAGACGGGGTGGTTTGAAAATCTCAGGAACAGCCAGCTCCCAGGGATTTTCACACACTGCAGTCTCTAGGCATTAAAAAATAACAGTACAAACAAGAAACATCCAGCCAGTGGCAGTCCTGTGCTCAAAGAATAATGGCCTGACTCGTTAAAGCTAACAGGTAGGACAGAGGTGCAGAAATAGCAGCCCTGTACCCCAGTGGTATTCCAGAAGGCATCTCTGAACTCACAAACCCTTGAAGCCATTCTGCATCTGTACCTGATAAAGTGGCCACTTCGTGTATATAAATATAGGGTGTAGAATGGCATCAAAGTTCATTTTATATATTTGGTAATGAGGCACAGGTGGACAAATATGCTCGTCACCGTCTTTAAGGCCATGATGCAGGCATAATTTTCCGACAATATGCAGTTTCCCAGAGTAATGTTCTAGTTACTATGCAAATGAAAATTGTTTCTTCGGATTTTGAAGGTTGCAGCCATTTTTAAATTTGATTAGGTGACAGGAACAGTAGGGGAAGCAGCAGTAGATCTTTGATCTTTATTTAAAAACACTTCGCATCTTTCTCCAAATCCCAATGTCACATGGTTCTGTCCTCACAGTAGCTTATTCTCAAGTTGAATTGAAACAGTAACCACCTACAAGTGTTGTGGGCAGTTTATCACTGGGTTGAGTATTATAGCATCTCAAGGTGACACAAGAGGAGCATCAGCAGACTCTTTTCCTGTCAGTAACAGCAGGAAACTTCATGCGGCCTTACAGAGTCATGTTTATAAGATGTTTTTTTTTATAAGGTTTGATGGTGGTGTGCCAATGCATAGGCTGAGCTTTCTGGCCTGCTGTTTTTCCAGTATGGCCATGGCCCTCAGTATGCTTTCTGACTCTGAAATTGACGATGAAGCCGCGAGGAGTGTGTTGTTGGACTTACTAGGCGTTTGGCAGTGGAACATAACTTTACACTTCCTCAGCAGCTACTGTTGCAGGCATTGAGTGTTACCCTTCAGGTCATGCAACACGAAGTCCAGAATAGAGACTATTTTTTACACTGGAGCCTGGTTAGCTGCGGATATACAGTGGAAGAAGTGATGAACGGTTGTTCTAAAGAGAAGGTCACTATTCTAACAGGCATAACTGTCCTACTCAGATTTTTCGCCCACTTACAGTGTTCCAGGAAAGGATGCTATTTGTAAACTAGGTGATCAGAATTTGTCAGATCTATGTTTTTTCTGATAAAATAAATGACATTAAATAGATAAACTATGTCCATCTAATGTAGCCTTGAGCTTCTGCATTTATCTTTTCGTTGTGTGATGTAGTAATTTCAGTATTTAATTTATTTAATGTCTTTAATTTTTCCAGTAAAAAATGAGGGAATTAGCCCCGTAGTAGCCTTATGTACAGTCCTAGTGATCAGTAATATTAGAATGTGGGGTATGTTGGAGTTTGAATTCTGGGCTAGTCACTGCTTCTCTCGCTTCAGCTAATAGGATCCCTCTCATTGGACAAATTCTTCTAACAATAATGTACATCATTGTTACTTCCGAAGGTGTCAGTCACTTCTGCTGGGGGGTTGGCCTGGCACTCTTGCTAAATGCATAGCTTGCACTGCTTTATGTGTTGATACTTCACTTTTTAGATGAACAGTTGTTTTATGTTCTCAAAACTAGTGCTCCAGATGACCATCAGACAACCACAGGAAGAACTGGATATTCACATCATCATCTACTTCAGGGGTGTCCAACTCCAGTCCTGGAGAGCTGGAGCCCTGTGTAGCTTAGTTCTTTCCCTGTTTCACCATAAATGATTCAGCTCAAGAACTGTGTGGTAATTAGCACAAGGAGTTGAATCCGGTGTGTTAAATGAGGGGAAACCTAATAATGTGCAGGCCTTTGGCCCTGCAGGACTGGAGTTGGACTCTCCTGGTCTACTTAGAGCATAGATTTAATAGTGCCCCAGGCTCATGCCTATATTTTTTTAAACATTCACAGTCAAATATGAGACATTGTCTTGGAGAAGTGTTAGCCCGAGTCTGGTTCATGTCACCTGAGAAGTTAGATTGAGTAAGATTTGAGTGGTTTAGGGAAGTAGACAAGGGTTTTGTTTGATGCCTAGTTTCATGAATCTAACTTTTCCGATGGAGACTTCTAAGCACTTATGTAAGTTTCTCTGGATAAGGGCGTCTGCTAAATGCCATAAATGTAAATGTACATTTTACCAATGATTTAAAGGAGAAGATTTAGAAATATTTACGAAAAAATATTGCACTGGGAAAGATTTTACTCACAATAGTATATTTTAGGGTATTTTCTTCATAATTGTTTGACACTTCTATGCAGTTCTGGATAATTATGAATTAATATCAAAATTCCACTTTGTGGCCTTATTAGCATGTTCTGAGCAATTGGATTAGATACAAATGTACAACAAATTATATATTCTAACATAGGCCTAGTTCAGGATGCAGTCACTATGGAACTCATACACTTCTTGGGCAGCAAACTCACCACCAATGATCCTAGTGCTTTTATTGCATTTTCTGGGAATTTCAATCATATTTCACTCCCCTACACCCTCACCAGTTTTTTACCAGTATATGGTCAGTACTACAAGAGGAAACAGGACACTGGGCTTGCTATATGCCAGCAGCAGAACCCATAATTCAACAACTGCCAGTCAGCTCCAGGGCTGTGAGGAAATGGATTAATGAAGCTGAGGAGGCTCTGTGGGATGGCTAAGAGGAGACAAATCGGGACATTCACTGTGAGTCATACAGGGAGGATACTAAGGGACTAAACCACTTTATCATGCGCTACAGTATATCCTCTTCTGTGTGGATAACACAGTTCCCATGTAGACAGTCTGCTGTTTTCAGAATAAAAAATGCATCAATGAATAACAATTAGTCAGTGCGAGTTAATTGTACTTATTTTTTAAAAAGCGTAATCTATCTAACTAATTGAACCATAGATATGATTGTTTCACATGAATTGCTTTCAACATTTACGTTAATTTTCCTTCGAAAGCCAAGATAAATGCATCCCATAGACATCCGTAGATGTCGTGCTTCACTGAAAGTCTATGAAAGATTCTTGTGCGCTTTGTCTAAATGGAGAATAGACAAAAGCTTATTGGTGCGTATGCTTCAACGATGTGTTTTCGGAGACCACCTGGATGCAGTGCTTCACTGGGAGTCTCTGAGAGCTTCGTGCATAGGTTTTGCTTTGGAAACATTGATTAGATAGATAGACTTGCGGTCAGATATTTTAAATCTGCCTGGAAGCCAGGTTTTTCCGCATGGTGTTTGGGAGACGTCTTGACAAGACAGGATAAACTACGAATCACGTTAATGCTCACAATTGAGTCATTCTGTCTCATGCAGGGGCACCGAAGCGTTTTGTTGCAACACAGTGGCAGTTTATTTTTTCATACGTTATCTTTCACTATTGGCATTTGTAAATATTTTAAGTATTGTCGTTATTGAGTTGTTGAGTTTCATTGTTTAATTTTCAGTGAAAGTTCAGTGATTTTTAGTAAGCTAGTTTTGTAGTTCACTAACTAAGCTGTCGGTATGTACGAAGTGGTCAAATTGCTGGTATGACAGAATAATAGATCATTACTTCAAAAAGAAAGGAGAGCAGAATTTATATTAGTACTGTAGCTGACTGACTAAAATAAGAAAAAAGCCCTTTTTTTAATGCGAACTGTTGACACTGTGCTTCACCCATTTTAAAAGTCACCATTCACCATTGAGGATAACAAACACAAAAGACACAAATATAAACCAAACGTTGTTATTGATAACAGTATTATCAATGAGGTTTTGTAACTGTCACACCCTGAGGGGCAGGGAGCATGCCCCTCCTGCACCATAAAAGGATGCACTCACAACCTAGCCATTGCGAAGTATTGTTGCCAGATGTACCATACCAAGCAGTTCATTCACACAGTCTTCTGTCCTGCCTGTATTGTGTCAACTCTGCTTGTTCCTGCCCTGCCTGTTCCTGCCCTGATTCAGCATGTCCCTGTTCCTGCCTACCCGTCTGCCTGGTCCCACCTGTTCCTGCCCTGCCAGCCCTGATTCAGCATGTTCCTGTTCCTGCCTACCTATCTGCCGAGTCCTGCCTGTTCCTCCCTGGATTCAGCATGTTCCTGTTCCTGCCTACCATCTTCCTGGTCCTGCCTGTTCCTGTTCCTGCCTGCCCTGATTCAGCACGTTCCTGTTCCTGCCCACCCATCTGCCTGGTCCTGCCTGTTCCTGACCTTGCCTGTCTGCCCCATCTAGTGTTCCTATTCCCGGTCTTGTGCATCCTTGTCCCCTCACCTACAGGCCTTCCTGGATCACCTTTTTTGACTACATTTCTGACCTTACGATTTGAATTTTTTTTGCCTAGTCTCTCAAAGAAAACCTTCAATCTCCTGCACTTTGGTTCCCTGTCAACTCTGGCCTCCTTTCATGACAGTAACAGCTGAGTTCAAATTAATATCAGAATGTATCTACTGAATGTGGATTAAGCTATTCTTGTTTCACTGATAATGTTAAATCTATTTTTTAACTATTATATTTAATTCATAAATAGGTCTGTTAATTTCAAAGTAATATCATATTTGAATGGGAATGTTTTATAGTATTGATTTAGTATCGATTTGTTATTGATATTGAGGTATCAAAGCTGGTATCGCTAAAAAGTGAAAAATTTGGTATCGATCCAACTCTACAAATGACCCAAAGGATCTACTAAAGAAGAAAAATCGCTGCAGTGTTTGAGATGGCTCCATTTTTGTTCTTTTTTAATTACTATTATTACTCACAGATATTACACGTGGTGGGTTTCCCAGAAAGTGGGTTTAGAGAAGATTCCTGAGTTAAAAACATGAACTGGATCATTTTCCATTCCAGAAACCGAGATTAGACCGAGTGTCTCAGTGACAATGAATGTTAAGGATAGGGATGAAAAGGTTTTATAGTAAAACATGGTAAAAATCCCAGCGTTTAGTGTTACTGCTTCAAATTTTAATTATCATTAAAACCGTACTTGATTACCACCCTTTGAAAAACTCATGTTTAATAGTGTCCAGCAGCAGTCTCTCAGAAACAGGCACAGCATGCAATGTAGGCTTGTTTGTGACAGTGTAAAAACATGGTGGAAAGCAGTAACATTGCTCAGGAGATTTTTCAGCCTTCCAAGAGAACTAAGTGAAGTCAGGTCATATTTTGATTTTTATAAGAGTGCTGAGGGAAACTTGATTGAACGACACTTCAAATCTTATGAGTCATATTCATGGCCATTACCCAGTACTTTATAGCGAGCATTAGATTTGTTTATGTATGATTGTATTGTTACATGTATATTGTTTTGTTTATAATGATTGTGTTGTTTTTATATGCACATGATTTACTACTTTTCATGAAAAAAGCTTCTTTAAGAAGTTAAAGCCTTCTACTCAGTCACGACCAGTGTTGTGAAATCTTGCAAGTTCAAGAATGAATTTAGGGAATTTTTTCAAATACAAATGACTAAATTTTTGTTTAATATTGCATTTGTAACAGTGGATGGAACAATGCATTACAACACAGTCTTTATATGTCTCTTTCGGTCTTTTCTTCTTGCACCAGTACAACCACTCCTTGTTTAGCAAACAAGTTATTTTCCAACTAGCAGGTCATTAAGTGAAATGATCACTAAGTAGTGGTGTAAACCATTGACCGCAGGGCAATTCAGTTAGATTATGATTAAAAACAATTGAATGCATGGGAAATCTTTAATTTATCTCAAAGTTTGATCATTTGATTAAATTCAAACCTCTTTTAACTTTGCTGTAAAGAAATCACAAATAATACAATGGCATGAACCATATTTCCCTTAAGGTCGTCATGTTGGGATTGGAGTCCCCACAAACATATAATTACAAACCTGTGTGTGTGTGCGTGTGTGTGTGTGTGTGTGTTTTGCGGGGAAGGGTTCCTGGGTGATATTTGCAGAGCTTTGCAGCAAACAGTGGAATGATGTTACATTGTTCTTTATTTTGTGGAACACTAAAGATCTATAGTGCCTGTGGGCCAGATTTACTGTTGAATTATATACAGGTACATGTTTGTGGCCCAGTACTTTGAGATGGTAATTGAGATCAGCCAGCAATGTAACTCCATCTGAAAACTTTTTAGACACATACAGACAGGCCTTCTGTTGATGGGTGGTCATCCAATGCAGTCATCTCCATTATTGTAGCAGTTGTGTCTTTAGTCCTGGTGCTGCTAACTTTGAATATTGATTAAATATCGGCCAGCAACATTGGCCAAGACTGACACATCTGTCCGATAATTTTAACAAATATCAACGAATACCAGTATGTTAACTGATAAGTCATGCATCTCTAAGGCTAACATTACTTTTTACTTAGCTAGTTAGTTAGCTACCTCACAGTTTTGATGATTGCAGTAAGAACGTTTTTTTTATGCTACAGAATAGAGGTGTTTCCCAAAAACACTGTAGTGTAAATATCAGCAAGTAACAATTTCTTTATGAATATTAATGAGCCTTCCCCTGTCAGTCTTCATTTCAGAAATTCGCAACCCATTGCTGATACTTATGTCTACTCGCAGCACGTGAAATCGAGAGTGTGCCCAACATAGAAGTAGGAGTATCTTTATTTTGCCCCCAAAAATCTGACACTGGAAGATGCTGACGTCAGCAGATAGATGCATTGAATTGGCACCATAATAATCGATTTATCGTGATGTTTCGATGCATCTTTCCATCCTTATCGCTAAATGAAATTCACAGTATCTATGGTGCGACTGCAACTGTCTTCATGTTCTTCACAACATTTTGTACATTGCACTTCAAAGATCTCTCTCACATCAGCATGTATTGTTGTCTGGCATATGAAATTTGGTCGTAAATGTGTGCATACGTTGGAAAATTATTTTTTTATTAGTCATACTTGAGAAAGGTCACTAACTGAGGTAGTTGATAAACGAGGAGTAATTGCATTATGTTGTACTGGTGGATAAACTAGATGTGGGACAAAATGTAAGGTGTGGAACAGACAAAACAATTTCTTTGGGGGTCCTGTCTGCTCCGGACTGCCACGAACGCTATTTCCAGTGTCATCATATAGCAGATGACCTGTTCCACTGGGAAAAGAATTGACACCTTGTGGTTTGACTACAGATAAGATCCGTTCAGTGTCTGACATATGATTCACATAAAGAATAAGAACTGTGTGACAGCTGAGGTTGCATCTCAAAATGTTCATAAAATTATGAACAAACTACACCAAATATGCAATCATACTTAAACAATTCACTTCATTCAAGTGCTTCTCTTGAGGCATATTTACTTTTTTGTTTATTCCACATAGGATTCCACATTGTTACTTTTTTGTTTATTCCACATTGGAAATTAACAAATGGGACTATGGGGTCCTTGTCTTTCCTTCTTCTGTCCCAGGCTTTTTAGGTATAACTTGTCAAAAATGTCTGGTTTTCTTCCAAAATCCTGCACAGTGTAGAATGAAAGTAGTTTTAGGAGAAGAAAGATTAGGCACTCTGTGACATAATTAGGCACCACAGGATGACCAAAGAATAGATTTTTCATCTATTCTTCCTCAGTAATCTTAAGTACAGTATACAAGTGGCATATATTATACATTGGGAACAAGCACTTCATGTATTTCATACTAATAAAAAACATGGGATGTGTGTAGGAGAGAAAGATGCATATTTCCTCAGAATACAAAAATGAAAATCATGTTCTTGTCAAAATAGGAATGGGGGGACACTTCAGGTACAGCCTTGCAGGCCTCAAAGGGCTTATTTGTTAAATCAAAACAGATGCTAATAAAAATAAAAGGGGTCAAACAGAAGGCAGGACCGGGACAAACCTACACACAGGCATAAGCACAACTACTAAGCACGCTTAACATCCACAACAATAATGACTAAACTGGGGGATATGACAAGGGTAGGCACATAAATACACAGATAACGAGGAACCCACAAGAGGTAGGTGTGAGTAATTGACACATTAGGGCTGGAAACAATGAAAAAAATTGGGGAGATATGGGATGGCCAGTGACATCTGCTGGCCAAACAGGAACATGATGGAGCTGAGAGGGATAGATCCTGACAGTTTTGCTTTCTCTTTTTAACCTGTAGGACTCGGATTCTGTGTATCACCCCAGCTGATGCACCTCAACTTTGACATAGGACTTCAGCTGGCTTCCCAGCAAGACTACCCCTTGGGAATTGGCTCTGACGTTGATACTGAAACAGAAGCGGGTCCTTCACCTGACCATGCCTTGCACCTCTGGATGCGGGAGATCAAATCAGAACACAGCTCCTGTCTGTCAAGCCGGGCCAACTCAGTACTGTCTCTGACTGACACAGAACAGGAGAGGAAGTCCGATGGAGAGAACGGTATGGAGATATCTAAGGCAGGGAATTTTGTGTCAATACTTTCATTTGGTTTACATATATTATCAAGCATTTCTTTGCATAAAGAGTGGTATACAGTGTTGTGTTACATTACCCAACAAATCACCATAAAACATCTCAATTTTTTTATATAGACATAGCATACAAAACATACCAAAGCCCAATATGACTGAAATTTACATATGTGTTTTTATAATAGAATTAAAGTGAATTGAACATTGTTCCCACTTACTGGTAGATTGCCAATATGGGGGGGGGGGGGTGGTTATATGGCACAGAGGAATGTGCATCACGTGCAGCTTTTCTGCCGCAGTTCTGTCTAATAATGATTGGATGTGTTGTGTCTGCCCATGTGAAGCTCGGTGTCATGTTATTCTTAATGACGGCCTGAAAAGGTTTTGGATACAAACACACTACAAGCCAGAACTTTGGGCCTTACTCTCTGATATTTTTTTTAAATAAACGATACACTGCTTTTTCAAAATTTTATTACAAGAAATTATTAGAAATATTTCAGACAGATGTAACTGACTGGTTTTCAGTATTTTATAGCTTGTAGTAACACATTATTTAGCCACAACGGCTGAAACTGGCTTTGAGTGTAAGGGTTAGACCCAAACGTCTGGCCTATGAAGTATATTCAAGCATATTTATTTCAGATTACTAAACACTGGAGGGGTAGCACGGTGGGGCAGTGTTTAGTACTGTTGCCTCTGTCAAGACTCCACGTATGCATGTATTCCCGTGTCATTGTAGGGTTTGGTTTCCCCCCACAGCCCATATGCTTGGTGAGGTGAATTAGAGATCCCAAATTGCCCATAGGTGTATGTGTTTGAGTAAATGGTGTGTGAGTAAATGGTGTGTGAGTGTGCCTTGTGCCCATAGGCTCCTGACCTGTTTTATTTCTCGTGTTTGTGAGTGAGTACTAAAACAATGGTTATTTGCACTGATGTCCCTGTGAACTCTGCTATCTCTGAGGTCTTGCAGGTGGTGGGGTTGCTCTTACTCTGACTCAATGCGTGGTACAGCATGATGGGGCTCTCAGATTAAGCTACAAATAGAACAGTTACGCACTCTGTGCAAATTTGTCACACGATATGCATTCCCTATAAATGCACAGAGCCTGGCCTTTTTGCTTGGACATTGAACATCATTCGTGTGATATTCACACTAGACACAGGTAGGTCTTAATAAGTTATAGTACTTGGGAAATGAAACTTTGAAATTGAATAAAATATTCTGACAGTACCTTCACATTAATGCTGTTTAAAGGTTGTCTGTTCACATAAACAGTACTATAGTACTACTATATTACAATGATGGGAACATGAGATCCATCTAGACATTCAATGGTGTTAGGGAATCCTGCAATACTTAAACAATTATATTTATTCATTCCGATAAATCATTCAGTGCCATCACCAATAAACACTTTTGTAATCAATGACAAATTGCAACTTAGTGGAACTATTCTCTGTTCTCCAAGATTTACGTCTGGGAAAAACAAGAAAAATATGCATTTTGAGTGCTAAGCATATATACTTTGTGGATAGCCCGACATGCTATTGCTTTGCCAACGTGTTTACAAAGTTTGTAAAGATGTGAGTGCAACTCAACAGTGTTTGATGTTTCAAATGAGAGGCCAAACATGGGTGTTTAAATAATCAAGATAAACTGTAATCAAATCAAATTTAACTTTACTGATCCCAGAGGAACATTAGGCTATTGAATAAATCATGGACTGGGATGAGAAATGGTACCATTCTAGAAGATAATTGCCAAGGAATGACAGAATGCCGAACCAGAGAAGCATTTCCTCTACTATGTTGACCATCGCTTAAAAAAATGGGCAAACCAAATCAAACTGCTGTGTTGGCACAACTGCAGCCTGCAGCTTAATAAAGGTAAACCACTGTTGAGCAAGTTTAGTTCTGAGCTTTCAGTGCCACAGTGATTGCCTGATGCTCAGTCTAATCTCGGTGATCCAATTCACGCTTTTAATTTGGGAGTCTGCGCTAAACCTGCTTTCATTTGGAATTCCCCATAGACACTATAACACAAAATGAAAACCAATACACAATAAATAAACACAAGATAATTAAAAAGGGGGAAAACAAAACTCAAAGTCTCCAACATGTCATGCCAGAAGCCGAATAAATAGGAATCCGCAAATAAACAGGAAGGAAGTCATAAATGTAGCACGATCCACATATGGATAGGGCATGGTCCACTAATGCACAAAACAATAAACCAATAAATCACTTAGAATTTTTGTGGATATGATTTTACACAACACAAACCAAAAAATACACATTTGTGGATAGTTAAATATTTGTGGATCATGGTACATATTTGTGGATTGTCTTCTGTGGGTTAATAAAACTTCCATATAGTAATTTCACAATTCAAACAGTAATATGATGCAAGTGTAACATTTTTACTGTATCCAAAGAAGAAGTTTTTTGGAAATGAAGTGACAGAATCCATGTTTTAACACATTGTTCTACTATGACTGCATAAGAGAAGAGATTAATTTATATAGGGCTACCTGTAAGGGGATTAATGTTAACCATTTGAACACTGCAGTCCACCACATTTACTAGATTCATATTTTGCTTTCTTGTAAATGTTTGGCTTTTAAATCATAGAGTAACAATAATATTGGGGCCAATCCCATGAATTTTTTACTGCAGCTTAACAATATTTAAACACAAACATATACAGTGCTATATGTGGATAGCTACTCTGCTATTTGACACCATATTCAAATATGTGTGTTGATCACCGATTAAAAAAAGGGATACGTCACTCAGAATTCTTTCCTGGTCACTGAGACTTCATATTTCTGAAGTGATTTCTGGAAAGGAGTTTTTCAGAGGGAATGCTCTCTAGAGATTGGAGATGTAGTGGATTAATACAGTTACACATAATGACTACATCACACATGACTGGCATGAAATAATACATGCCAGACTCGAGTGACAGTGAGGAAGAGCACATTGATTTGTTTCATTAAAGAAAAAGACATATAATTATGATGCCAATTAAAAGCCAAATTGATTTCTTCTTGGAACATTTTTTCCTAACTAAAGCTTACTTTCATATTTGCAGGGATGGTTTTTATTGTTTCACTGCTGTTTGTTAAAGTATTGTTTAATATTGATAATGGCTGCTCATTTGATTGCCACTCAAAATCCTATGAAAGGTGGTTATTCCAAGTGGCTTCTAGCAGAGGCATTCGGGTTCAGAAGGTAAAAATCCAGACCAAGATTTTGTTTCTGTCCAGCTGAGTATAGAGTCACAATCACAGAGTACTTTAACTGGTTGGGTGACACAAAGTCTTGGCCTGGATTAATACTTTCTGGACCGGAACCAACCACCTCTGGCTTCTAGTAATGGATCGCTACACCACAGTTTCTAATACTTCTTTGCTCTTTTTTGTGCAGCCCCTAATAATGTAAAATGAAGGCCTCAATTTGAACGGCAAAATAGAGGACAACTAGAAAAAGGCACTGAGAAGTGCTAATGTAATTAGTCATTAACATGTCTTTTCAGGCGCAGAGAATGTGGAAATTGCAATTGATTATACTTGAAATACTTATTTAAACTACCCTTGGTGCATTTAATTAAATTTAACAAACAATTGTGAACTCTTAGCGTATTGTCAGTGCTCAGTTTATTAGGTACAATTGTGTGGTAATCTAAAGTCTGTTTCTCTACACAACAAAACCTGTGGCTACAACTTAATACATATAGCACACAGATAGGCTCAAGAAGCTTGGTTACTATTTTTGTTAGCTTTAGACTTACCTGAGATGCCTCATATATTCAATTTTGAATGTGCTGGTTTCAATATCTAAGAAAGAGGCAACCTCTTGGGACTCACAAGCTGGTCTGGTGTCGGGAGCATCAAAAAAACATTCAGTGAGTGGCATTTCCTTGGCTGAACACACCTTGAGAGAGGTTAGAGGGGAATGACCAGACTCATTAAAGTTAACAGGAAGATGACAAGTTAAAATATGACAGCTAAGTACAACAACGGTCTGCAGAATGACATCTCTGAATGCACAAATCATCTGGCCTTGAAGCAATTCTGCAGGCAAACGTGGGTCCTACCCGATTCTAGATAGGTGTACGGAATAAACGAGCCCCTGTGAGAACATACATTTCTTTACTACAAAACTGTATGTTCTATGTTGCAATAGTAAGAAAAAATAATCTTATTTGGACCTCGGATTTAACACTAAAGAAAGTCAAAACAGGATTAATTGTGGGAGTTTCAGTATTTATGTTATTTCCACTTCTGAGCATTGAAATCATTTTGTGTACATATGTATATGTCTCTTCCCTTCTCTCTTGGTCTATGCAGACCTGCCCGATAGCCCACCAGGCCAGTTCTCATTCCGGCCCCTACCGCCACCGCCCCCACCTCCGAATGCTTGTACATGTGCCCTGCCGACCCCCCATGCCCTCACCGAGTCCTTGCAGAGGAATGCCCGTGGACAGAATGCAGATTCAGCCAGTGCACAGGTGGACGGCAACAGCTGGGCTCTCAACAGCAATATCCCCTTGGAGACCAGGTCAGTGAACAACAGTCCCTTCTACTCAGTCAAGTCACTGTTCACAATGATCATTACAAACAGCTTCACTCTAGATCATTTAACCCCGGTCATTCACTGAGGATAAATTAAGAAAAAGAAAAGATATATATACCAGTTTGTCCTGCCGTGCTTAGAAAGTCAGTCTCAGTTGTGTAATCCTCAAAAAAAGAGAGAAGACAAGAGATTTTCATATTTGTGATTCACATGTATTATCAGCCCCAAACCCTGGTTGATGGGTGGGTGGGATGTATTTTCAGTCTCGAAGTTGACATTTAATGGATGTAAAGATATAAATAACTCACTGACAAGTTAGCTACTGCTAGAGTACTGTATGAAAATTGCAGGCCGCCATAGAAAATTAAATATTTTACATTTCAGTATGTCACTTTAGTCAGTCACTGTGCCTGTCACAGTATCATTTATAATCGAGCAACTTTTCAGTGTTTTTGCAGGATATGAATACTCTTTGCAATGGATTGTATTGTATAAACGGCATTCATCTTATGTCCTATGTAGATGTCTTATGTCATATTTAATTGTCATACATATTTATATTTATATTTTATTTATTACATTTTTTTGCACTATGGCCACCAAGATTTAAAGTGTATATTTCAGTGTATAACCCATGCATCATATAGCTGAAGATAGCAATAAAGGTGTTTGACTGTGTAAAAACCAAACCAAAGGCAATGATGTTTAAGCTATGTTTAAGCTATGTTTAAGCTATGTTTATGTTAGCATAAAACTGTGATTTTCTGTTTGTCAAAATGCCAGCTCAGCCATGTCTTTTTTATTTGCATAAAAAATGCCTGTTATACCTACATATTTTGTTCTGCTAATAGATTTGAAGTTAATTAACTAATTAAGTAAATAGTTAATTAACTAAGTGAACTGCTGGAAAAATTTTATAAATACGTGGAACATCTGGGGTTCTGCCAGAAGAGGTTTGGGACCTAAAGCTGCGTGTTCCTAAACATGCAATGTACTATGCGGATGAATAGCTTTAAATCTCATTTTCTCTAGCAGGCTACGGCTTTTTCACAATACTGTATATAAATCTGTTTAATGAGCTGGGATTATCATTAAGCCAATCATGGGGATCAGAATTAAATATAATTTTATTTAAAAAAAATTTCAGCGGATATGCGGAAGCTGCAAAGAAAAGGAAATTAAATTATTAAAATCTAAAGTTCTAAATTCAGCATTTCATTTTATTAGTATCTGTTATACTATTATCATAGTACTAGAATCTAGTCTTGGTCCACTTTTTCTCTTACATGAAGCATTTTCCCTTACATACAAGATCTTCAATCTTGAATTAGTCTCCATAGTTCGGATTAATGGCACTTAAAGCAGTCATCATAATGCATTTATAAAGAATTATAAACATGGCTATAACTATTAACCATGTTTGACCATTCAAATCGTATGGAAAAGTTTTTTTTTAACAACGAAAAGCTTAAAGCTTCAAATTACAGGCAGCCCACCTAAATTGTAGCCCTCCCCTTTACTGTAACTCTTTTGGATAGAAGCATCAGTTATATGTAAAGAAGTTAAATGTACATTATGTACATTTAGACATATGAATAATATAAATGACAATTTAACACGTGGACTTTAAGACGCACAAAGAAATATGGTTAGATGGCTAATATTACTGTTCCAGTTTGGTTGGTTCGAAAACAAAAAACAACAAAAAAAATTCATGATGGATCATGATTTTAACCAAAAAAATCACGATTTGACATTTTGGTCACATTGCTCACTCCTATTTATAACCAATGAAATCACTCTTTGACTTATTTGTACTAGAATGCTCACATGCAGCTTTTTAGACATCTTTCACCCGTATGAGTGGCTTACATGAAATTTGATCAGGTTAGTAGTGGTACAGTGTTAGGTATTAGTGATTAAATACAAATGTTTGAGATCCAAGGATTGTCATCCTTAAATATTAATAATTTTGCACTGCAACATGGACACAGCATCAGTGATGTTTCCTGGGGTCTGAGGGTGTTTCAGGTCTTTCAACATCAAACACCTTCACCCATACATCCCAACCAGGGGTGATCAGGGCCCTGGCTTGTGCCCAAGTACTGTAATTTGTATGGTACACGGATCACTCTGCTTGATTCACAGCCATCTCACTGCGTTCTCATCAGGCTCATCTGTGAATTTAGTGATGGTTCTTCTACTGCGCAGTGCCCCGACTGCAAGAAGCCTGAGTGCCCTTTAGAGGGATTGACCAGCATAGTCTATATACCTGACCTCAAGGAGCTCACACCGGGTCCTCATACTTGGCCCTCTTTCTGTTAACGAGAGACCATGTAGTCTTCCCAGAGATTGGTCAATTGCAGCAGGACCACTTGTCTTGTTGTGTCCTTTACCAAGACTGATACAATTTTGCTTTGAAATATAGTCAGGGGTGATTAAATTGCAAATACGTATAATTAAAACAATGGTCTTGAAAGTGGACTTTATTTTTTCTGGTCTTGGTCTGAACTCAGTCTGACCTCCCTCGAAGTCTCAATCTTGCCCCCCCCCCAACAAATCTCGATCTGGACT